GCCTGGGCCTGCGTTGCGCCTAGGCGACAACCGGCTGATCTCGGTAAAAGGCTGAGACAGGACGATCTGATCTCAATCAGGATCCGTTCCATTAGGCTGCAACTTTCTCGCATCCCAAAGCGTGACCCAGTCCCTGTGCACGCTCTCAAGTGAAGCCTACGCGGTGCTTTTACCACAGCCCGTCAGAAACTGGCTCCGGGCCCAAGGGCGATTCAACGGGTCCCATTTGATCGTCCAGTTTCGCCTCCGTCCCCCCTTTGCTGTCTCCGCCAACGCTGAAGAAGGAACTGGCGGACTCCAACACCGCAAGAAGATTTGCAGCAGAAAATAAAGTGGCAGGAAATTGTTCGTGCTCATGCATGCGACGTTGGCACATAACGCACGCCGCGTTTTGAATGTACAACTCCAAACAGCGTACACATAGGTGCGTTTCATGCTGACATGTAGCTCATGATAATTCGTGTGCGCTGGCGTAGGCTGTGCTCCACACATTTGATGAATGAGTTTCTTGCCAATGTGGCGGTTGTTTTCTTATTGTTTTTTTTTGCAGAGTCCATTTGGAAGAGTCACTAGTCTGACTGCTGATCCTCATGATGGTTTTGCATGTGCTTAAGCTAGAAGCACCCACAGGAGCCTGGATTTGTTTGCGTTCGACACCCCTGTATCCCCAAGACTGCTTCTCATGGAGAAGTATGAGGGAAGAGTCTATGGCTGTGACTGACAGGGATAGGACAACCCCATGTTTAAACATGCTTCAGCACATTGCTCCTTGTAGAGGCCAGGGTCTAGTTCTTTGAACAAATTCGCCCAACCATTGTGAATGGACACCGGGACCTCTCCTCTTTTAAGCATGCTTGAAAGAAAACCGATCTTTTGGAAGTGGCCCTCAGGAATCCTTCCATTGGTTTTGTTTCATCTCTGTCCCAGTTTCCTAACCATTTTTAAGCGCCGCGCTCCCCTGGCGTTGAGCCCTAGTTCCATGGAGCGACTAGAGGTACACCCGCTGATCACAGTCCATAGCCGGTGAAAGAGGGACACCATATGAGCGGCACATGTTCAAGCCGTGGAATAGCAGCCCCAAATGTTCGCAACCCAACGGGTTGCGAAGCATCGCGCCAGGCAGAGTTTGCTATGTGTACCCGCAGGCATCCGCCAAGAGGGGGGAGGCAATGTGCCAACGCAAGTGGGACCCATTCGGAGGAGCACTTACAAAGGATCCGGCATGACACCAATCAATCTCGGGGTCCTTTGCTTTCACACACACACAGACAGGGTGAATCATTGGACCACCGGGGGGAACAGCCCAATACAACGAGATCAAGGGTGTTCCCGACAGAAGCAAAGGGGACATTTGGTTTACTCGGGAAGATGTGGGAGTTCTTCTGGGTGACCTGGGGCCCACAATTTGAAGTCCGCTTTGTGGAGAGTGGGCCGCCTGTGTTTGGTCGGGGTTCTCTCTTTGGCTGATCTTCGATATGAGCTGTAACCTGCCTTGCATGCTTCACAGGACAACTGTAAGCCCCTTCACAAATCACGCCAGCAGTCGCGGTTCTAGGCAATCTATAGCGGACTCAAACAGAATTGAACGACGACCTCGCTGAATTGGGGTACCGGTTTTGAGTCTGTGGATCCAACATGAACTTACGGCCGTGCCATTTTTTTTGACATGCTCCTGTGCAAACTACATAATTGGGCCTCTCAAGGACGGGGCCAGGTTGGGCAGGCAAGCAGGGGTGTGTTCCCCAATCGGAAAAACAACTCCTTGGTTTGAGTCTGCCGGGGAATCAAAGCTGGATCACTGTCTTGAGCCTTCGGAGCTGGTCACTCAGGCGCCGGCTCCGGCGCCGGCATTTCCCATGGTACCTGCTGGCAGCCCAGAAGATCGCCCCTCTCAAAATGGGCTCGCTTGAAAATTGGGGGACCCTGTCGCTCGAACCTCTCGACGCCCACCCGGTCCTTCTTTGGGCGAACGGTAAAGTAGAGGTCCAAGTTTAGGGTCGGGGTTGGAAAACACGGACTTCCCCACAACATTGGCCCCAAGAGACGAGGCCCTTCAAGCGGATTGGGGAATTTTGTTGTTAAGCCCCATTTCGCAGGGCTCCGTTGGAGCAAAGCACAAGCTAGGTCTAGGTCTAGCAGCTAGACCTAGACCAGGGGGCTCTCTTCCAGGGGAGCTGGTGCAAGCATTGCAGTTGTAGCCTGAAGCCGAAGGATTCTCGACTTTGGGGTAATCCACAAAGGGGTTTGCTCGAATGACAAATCGAATCTGGGTTGAGCGCATCACCTTTTGAGCCAATTGCAGGCGAGCTGAGTGGGGTGGGGCTTAAGGAGGACATTCTGACCCTGAGTTTGAGAACATCAAGCCATCCATGTGGATTCTCGAGTTTGATACACAGGCTTCGCGCATTTGCGACTCATTGAATGCCCTGGGGAGGAAATGACATTGCTTCAAAAAATCAGATTCTCCGCGTGCTATCTATGCAGAGAAATCGCCCGACCGCTAGGAGTTAAGGCCATGCTGTCACTGATCATGTTGTGAAGACGCTGGATGAGACACACATCCGTGGCTTCACACAATCATTGGTTTCTCTTGGAGATTGCAAGTCAGGCCACATCTTTGTCAAGATCGATTCCCGTTCTTTTCACCTGCCGCTTCTTTTGAGAAGCCACGCAAATGGCTCGCTTGTGTTGCCATTCAATAACCCCTGTGCATTCTGGTGGTTTCCCAATCGAATTGGTGAAGACCGTTCCGGGAAATACTCAACCAAAAGATTTAATATGGACGTCTACATGTTTCCATGTCAGCCTGAAAGGCATCCAAAGGTAACGGCCTTGTGTTTCCAGGTCTTTTGCACTTGTTTTTCTCTGGGCATACCCTATGCTTCCCCTTAAAAGGATAGGATAAAGCTTTCGAATCCATGCTCAGGCCGGCACGGTTCCCTTGGTGCCTGTGGGGCCCCCCGCCTCGCCGGCGGTTTCGCCGGCGCCGGCGGGCCCACGGATGTTGCTTACAGCGCCGGTGGTCACTGCGCCTCCGCCGCCGTCGCTCATGCAGTGCCAAGGCGGTCTACTGAGTGTACCGGGCTCATGATTTTGTGAGACTAGGCATCCCCCCATGTTGAGCCGGGTGAGTCTGACAACTGATAGTTGTAGAATAATTGGGAATTCGGATGTTTCTCAGGGACAGGACGGGAAAGGTTGTTTGGATGGTTTGAAGAGAGGAAGCCAGCAACCTGCAGGGGTCCGGAAGCTCGAAAAGTACTCAAGGCCCAATTGGTTTGCATCTTTGGCTCTGATCTGCCAACATCCAAACTTCGCACAAAACATATTGGAGGGCTTACTCGCAGAACGCACAGGATACTGCAATGTGCGTGCAGCTACCAGTCGCGGCGACTCTTTTCTGCACTTGAGCCCGCTGGACTGCAGTCAGTGGGTCAACCGGACGTTGAATTGCCACGTTTTGCCAACGGAATCCAAATCTCGGCATACTGGACCTTGGTGGCCTTTAGCCGTCCCCTTAGCCTTTTAGGGTGTGGTAGTTTCCATTTCACCCACAAGTCAAACTGAGAGATTTGAGGGCAGCCCAGGGATGTCAGTGTTTTACGTGCCCGCAATGTGCCGCTGCCTGAGCTTGTTTGAGTCCTGACCCAGACCTGGCAAATGCCCAATCTCAAAAGCGAAGTTGGTTCAAACCAAAGAAACCATGTAGAGGAGTATCCTTATTTTAGGGCATGGGGGATCGCTATGTTTTTTGCCTACAGTACTAGAATGAACCAGCTTGGAATATGCAGTTGGGGGGACCTGTAGTGACTCGATTGGCAAAATGGGGGCAAACGGAGACTGCATTGATTTGACACCAAGAGTAGAGCATCGCGAACGAAGAGACCTCTTGAGCGCAGAATCCTGCGAGGTCTGCAAAAGCAATGGCAGCTTTCAACCCTCTCCATGTTCAAGGCCTAAGGTCCCACGGTATCATGTTCACTTGGAAGGGATCCTTGCTGCTTAACGTCGGCGAGTGTTGACAGCCCCTTCTGCAGGCAAACATAATGGAAGTACGTCTCTACATGCACATGGGTGGTTTTCGAAAGGGCTCCCTCCACTGGACGGAACACACCCGGAGTCTGAGGGTACAGGGCCAACATTTCGGCCACATGGCCATGGGTCAGATTCCCGTACCCCCAGTGAACATCCCAATCCCCACTAGAATGGACTAAAATGGGTGGTGCACCTACCCCAAAATGGTACCACTGATTTTGACCCACAGCCACATCTTCTCTGCCTGGGATGATGCTGGCTTGCAAATTTAAATAATAACTCTACTGCAGATAAGCGCGGATTCCGAAAACACATCATTTCAAAGGACTATGGGGGTTCCATGCTAATTTGCAGGGGAGCTGCTTTCGAAGTCAATCAATCCCCATTTGGTTGCACTCAGGAACCGTTCGCTGCTTCACCGCGGGCGCAGGCCGGCCTTGACTTATTCAGAAATTGGCAGAGCATTGGGGGGGTTGTTGATATGGGAGACCTACAAACGGGAGGACCATAGTGCAGGCGTTTGTGCGCGAAAGATCTCCAAAGGAGTTTGCGAATGGACTGTTTTCGCGAAAAACTGAGGTAAGGCTTTCTTTTTTTCTGGAGGCATGCTTGTACGCCTATTTGCCGGCCCCAATTTGGCTGTGACTAAAAAGATGGAACCCGAAACACCCTGGTAAATGGAAACAAAGACTACGTAACCCCTAGCTCGTTTAATTTTGAGCCACACCAGTTTGTTGTAGACAGGGAATTTCGCTGCAGCTTTGATTCCCTGCCTTTGCTGGGAATGGTCCAAAACCAGAACGTTGGCTGGGCAATTCTGCAGCTCGTTTTACGAAAGATCCGCGAAGTACCGGCGATTGCCAATGGAGCTGGTTGCCATGTTCCGCACACTGGGTCCAGGACGCAGCATTCCCGCAAGGTCAAGAGAAAAGGAATGACTGCTTTCCGCAAGAGAAACTCCAACAGCAAAATGCGGCTCCGGGCGCGGTTTTTCGGACTGGCCAAGAGGAGCAATTGGAAAGTGACATGAATGCATTCGTTGATTCCAAGGCTGGGGAGAGCCAGGAAAAATCAGAGGCGGCTTTGTTTTCTTCGGGGGGGGGGGCTAGCCTTGAAGGGGGTTTCCCTTTATGAGCTTGTCAAGTCCTTGTGGTGGTTTTCAACAAATTGTAACAAACAAATGATTGCTGTTTCCGGCTAATTCCTTTTGTGTAATGGCAGCCCTTGAGACTACGAATGCAGTTAGTACCGGCAAAAGTATGGCAATATTTTAAATCACTTGTTTTGGGGATTTGGGGCAGGAAAGGGACACGTTAATCAGAGGGGATTGTGGGAGATGCCAAACAATTTAGCCTGAGACTTCTGTTGGCCAAACCTTGTTGCTGCCTTTAAAGCAGTATTGCTGGCAGTTCACTGGAAGAATCGGGTGTCTTTCATCAGGGGGGGGTTGTCACGGACGTGTCGACATTACATGCAGCTGGAACGTTGCTTGAGAAGTCCCCGGCAGGCTAGGGGATATTCGCTGTCAGTCTATTGAGGAATGATGAAGCGCATTTGGTCTTTGCGTATGAAGTCCTTTCAGATTGCGCGCAAAGGGGCGTATCCCCGATCAAGAGGGTGCAAGAAGGAAACAATGGTAGGGTCGACAAGTATTCAGATCAGTCACAATAGTATGGCAGATGACATCAAATCGCGGCCAGGCAGGCATCCGTAGCACGCGCAGCCTCAGCCCTCTCCGCTGTGCCTTGCCCAGTCACTTTGTTCTTGGAGCCCGGAATGGGGGGGGAGTTCTTCCAATTTCAGCGTCTTTATTGCAGGTCATTGCCCACAAAAGAGAGTGGTTTGCAAGGGGTGCATCGGCATGCAGCACTTCCCGAGGCCTTCCGGTGAGGCATAGTCGCCAGGGCTCGGTCGCCGAGACGGAGGCCGGACTGGGATGGCGAGTGAAGACCAGGTCTTCCATCGGCCGAATGTGGACGGAAGTACTGGCAAATCCACTTCGCACAGCATTCCTAGGGTTTCATCCTGCCAACTGATGCAGGATGTTTGTCTCATCCAGAGTTTGGCGACTCCTTTCTTTTCCCAGTCCGTGTTATATTAAAGGGCATGCACATTACAAATGACTGATTCAATAAGTGTTGCGGCTGGCACTTGGAGCAAACGCAAGTGATGACAATCCGAGTTGGACCGAATCCTTGAGAAGGCCCCCGCCAACTACGCGGAGCTGCTTGCAGAAGCTAAGAGGAGGCTGCAGGAGAAGGAGCGGGCAATGGCTTGCTGGTCAGTCGGGCGCTGGCTTGAGTAATCAATAGCGTTTTGAACCGTGTTGATTCAGAACACATTCTGAACACGCTCATTTCGGGGAAATGTCTACATACCAGTTGTGTTATGTCTTGACCACGGAGCAAATGATTCGGAATCAGGCAAAGATTCGGCAATGCCTTCGAGCATTGACACAATGCGTAGGAGACCTCCATAGTCAAGGCTGACCTTTCGTCTGACTCAGGTGGCCAACAGTTGGGCCGAAACATGCCCACGGCCGTTGTCAAACGCGACAAGCACACGGCTGAACACTCAGACATCAAGCTTGTTGATCAAGGTCAGAGGACACCTTTATGTGTTTTGTGACAACTTAGAACGATAGCGAACACTACTTGCAAAACCCAAGAACCCTTGAAGATCTTTTAAGCTTTGAAAGGGCCTTGGCTGTGCAACCCAACTAGTCAGAGGGCACCAAAGCCCTTTTCAGGCCTTTTCTGCCCGATTTTTTTTGTTGGCAGGGTACTTCAGGGTACCCAGCAAACCCCCGCCATGGCTTCCGGTGGTTCCTGTCTAGGTGGACGCTGCTGTCTCCAGAAGTCTGGCAGCTGGGCAACGGGAGCAATGTGAGGCTGGACATTTGGGGAGGCTCCCGCAGCTCAAATCCAGGAAAATCACACAAACCGTGCGAGGTGCATCTTCCATGCGATTCGTTGGCTGTTTCGACTGTCCCCCTGTGCCAGTCGCGAGCTGACTCTGCGCCACCTTGGGCGCCCAGCGACACGAAGGCGACGAACGGCACACCTTGCGACGTCCGAGACACGCAGATGGAAGCGTCGCCAAGCTCTCGGCTGGAGCCTTTGACGCTGGCAGCTTTCCCTTCCCCGCACGGGGCCCCAGAAATTGGCTCAGCTTTTGTTTGAGGCTCGGGACCCGGTCGGGAAGCCAAAGGGACACCGGGCCCCGCTTGTGAGGGAGACAAGCCCGACAAGGACCATAGAAAAACAGACCCTCATGGGGCTGGGTCACGGACCAAGTGCCAATTGCCGCATATCGCCGGAGGCAGTGTGCATGCAGGCCCTATGAATTTCAAGGGGAACCCCCCAACGTGGAGCCCAGAAGTTTCCTGCCATTTGGTCGCTACGGATTCCTCGTGATCCGAGGTGCGGGGCGCGGCATGAGAGCACCGGGCTGGCCAAGCTGAAGGTGGAGCTGGCGTGGTTCTTGGGAGTTGCTGGTGTCACCTTAAGCCTTGGACGGAAACTAGGAAGACCTGGCCAATTGGCACCAATTGGCGTTCAAATCGTTTTGATTCATAGCCAATTTGAATTGCTTGGGCTATTGCTTGGATCGTGGTTGATCATTCTAGCTGGATGCCGGGGATCCTTTGTCTCAGAAAATTGGCAAAATACCAGGAAACTGGGCATGGTTCGGGGGAAACTCGAGCTCATTAGCTTATACGGTATATGGGGCGAGCCTTTATGGCAATCGCTGGGATGCGAGACTGCTGGTGTTGTTTTAGTCGATGTGGAATGCTTTCTGTAGTTAACGTGTTCGCAAGGTGGGTGAGAAAACATAGTGTACCCAATACAGCAACCGTTGTTGCATCATGAATAAATTCCTTTCGATTGATTTGCTCCACACGGTTTTGCCCTGCTTAGCTCAGCAGGGCTCTTAAACTCGCTTTTGCCGTGGGCTTCCTTCATCGTGTTGGTTTTCCTTCGTCAGGGGGTTGTGCATGCCGCGTCCGCGATGCGATCAGTTTCAGCTCAGAACGCTGAACAAATTGTCTGCGCACCATGCTCTTGCGCGCTGCATGGGCATTGCTGGTGCTGGCCCATGCTGCTCCGATTCGCGGCCCGCGGGCATTTGGTGTGTGGCGACAGGACAGCCCGCCGGGCAGACCCTCCACGGTGAACTGCACTTGGCAAAGCTTCAGGCAACAGATCGACCATTTTGGGTCCAAGAAGGGGACCTTCCCCCAACGCGTTGCACAGTTGCAAAGTGGCTTCCTTTTGTTTTTTTCCCCTCCTTGTTTTTGGTACCGGTCCGGTATTGTCTAAAAAGGAAAACCCACAACCTATGTGGGCCAGTTCCTTTTGCCCCATGTGTTTGTTTGGGCTTCTAAGGTTTGCATCTATTCGCGCTGGTGGAAGGATGCGTCGCAGAGCGGCTTCAACGCGTCTGGCTCACCGGGGCCTATCTTCTTCTATACCGGCAACGAATCTCCGGTGGAGCACTCCGGGCTTGGTGAATTAATCTTTCCCTTGAGTTGCCAAAGGAAAGTGGTTTCCCTTTAGATGTTGTTTTCTGGGGAAAATCGGATTGGACTTTCCAGCCATTGGGAACAGAGGCAATACATCAACAACACCGGGCTGATGTGGGAACTGGCGGAAAAAATGGGCGCCCTGATCGTCTTCGCAGAGCACCGGTATGAGCCTCTGTCCCACCCACGTCTCTGTGGCACAGAGAACTGCGTTGCGTATTGCACCACCGCCCAGGCAGGGGGTGGGGGGTAATGTTGGGGAGTGATTAATAAAGGGCCCCCCCCCTCTCAAACGAATTGGGGGGGTCAATAGCGAGAACCCCCAAAAACAAAATGGGGGTCAGACTGGGACCTGCCTGAGTAGTCTTCCAGTAAGTATGGTTTAGAATTGGTTTAGTATTGGTTTAGTATTCCTTTGAGCTGGCTCACTACGGTTTAGAATTGGTTTATTATTAGTTCAGTATTCTTTTCAGTTGACTCACTACAGTTTAGAATTGGTTTAGTATTGGTTCTTCTTCTTGGCAGGCTGCCCTGGCCAATTTTTTTTCACAATTCCCTACCCTTAAACAAACTGCATTATTGCCTTCCTGGGGGTTCCGTGTGCCACCCCCTTGAAAATTTGTCAGGGTGCATCTTCTAGTAAAGGGATTGATAAGGAATTTGGTGGTTTGGGACAGGAAGCAATCCAGAGATTCTGGACATTTCTGGCTGGACTCAAACGTTTCCACCTCAAAGGCAGTCCATTCTTGGAAGGGGACATATTTTCGGGATGTCGGGCAGACTTTTTTCTGTAATACCTACCCTTTTTGCTTTTCAGGAGAGTGAATAATTTTGAGATTTTCTTCTGTATTCACTCCCGTTTTATTAATCGCTATCTAACATTAAGGGGCATGGGTGGCGTGGCCCGGTAGAATAAACCGAAATATATAGCGACGGAAAGTAAGAAAGAAGAAGCAGAAAGACAGAACGCAATAAGAACGGAAAGCACGGACAGAGCTACGAAAGAAAGACAGAAGGACAGACTGACAGACAGAACTACATCTGACAAAGAACAGGAACAAACAACATAAATAGCTTAAATAGCTGACATAGCGTAAAGATGACACAATAAGGAAATATTTGGAAAGTGAAAGCAACATACATAAATCAATAGATACCTAACTAAAAAAGTAAGGGAGCAAGCAGGAACACAAGCAATTATCTGAAAGGAATCATCGAATAATGGGCCGCATATAAATTTCAAAATATAACAGAAAGAACACACAGAGAACAACGAACAGACCGTACAGAAGGAAGGAACGAAAGAACCACAAAAACAAACAAGGAAAGAAGCACACACACTTTCTCAAGGCTTTGGCGGACTGGGCTGCAATCATCGCAGACCTGCGCAAGCAGCACGTAGCTCGTGCACCCGCCGTGGTCTTCGGGGGCAGCTATGGCGGGATGCTCTCTGGCTGGATGCGGATGAAGTACCCTGAGGCGGAGCAGGGTTGGAGGGGTGTTTAGCCGGAGGCATGTTCGCTTATGTGTGCCATGGTTGTGGAAAGTGGTGGGAAGTTAGGTTGTCACTTTCTGGGATACCAAGGGATTTTGAGTGAAGTAGTCTTAGGACGCTTGTTTTGGTATTAAAGAAAGCTTGGCTGCTTGGGGATTTCTTTGTAGGGATGATTTGGAAGGATGTTTCGACAGCCAGTACAACAGTCCGATTGAGGAATCCATGAACATGATCCGCATAAGGAGTTTGCATCGTGGCACAAGGCTCACGCATGGGCGCGGTGCGGTGTCCTGGCTGTTCGGGTGCGCAGTTTCTGCTTGTATGCATACATGTGTATATATATATATAAATGACTATGGCAGTACCTCAACTCATTGCACATTAAGTAGCTTTCACGTGGCTGCGATTGCTCAACTATGGCTGTGAATCAGCACATGATCCATTGCGGACACCGAGAGAGAGACACACACACACACACACACAGAGACACACGCAAGAACATGCGGAACCGAATTCTTTCTCTTCTTCCGCAAACAAAGTAATCTAATGAACAACATCTTACACCAGGACTCCCAGCTCAGTGTCTTCCGCTTGTCATAGAAAGTGCATATGTGTCACAACGAGGCGCCCATGAGATAGATTCAACGCTAACCAAAGGAAGCCAATCACCTGTAGTCCCAATTCTGAGAGACGCTCATGTGTTTTTTCTTAAATCGTGGACCCCTTGTGGGTTGACCTCAGAATGGTGGACCCTGCAGCCCAATTTGAGGGCGTCCTCTTTTTTTCTTTGAGGAACGCTCCTTTGGCCATGTTTAAGCAAGGAACCTCACCAACAGGACACAGATTACCAGCCATGTCAAAGGGTCCGCGTGCAGGTGGTGGATGGCGCCATCGCCGCCTCGGCACCCATTTGGCAACTGGCCACTACAGTGACGAAGAAATCCCTGGATTGGCCCGCGCGGGCGGTGGCCCGGGGAGTGTCAAAGCCCGGCAAGGCCCCGGACAGGCGGGCGGGGGAGGGGGGAGGGTTGGGCGGAAATTTTCTCACCGCAGATGCAACTTGATGCTTGCAGCTTGATGTTTTGGCCCGACATGTCACCCTGTTGATACCTTTTGTTCATTCCCTTGGTTCCTGGACTTCGTACTTTCTAAGGCAACTTGAGTGGCAAGCTACGAGTTTGGACGTGTTTGGACCAATCCTACTCCGGACTTGAGTTTGTAAAGGGACCTCTTGTTGGTCGCTGTGACTTTCCTTAAGGGACTCCGGGCATGGCCCTGAGTTTCCGGACTTGGCACTCAAAGAGCCAAGCAACTAGGTGGCTCCCCTGGTTTCCCTTCGAAACTCACCAAACCAGGGCTCCCCCGTGATTTTTTATTTTTATTTTTTAAGAAGAAAGAAAGCAGTGAGCATTACTTGCTCTTTTGGTTCCTTCAAGTGACCCACGCAACATTCATGGTGGTTGTAATGATATGCGGGATCCACTCTGGGATTTGATCAATTTGCTCTTGCGAGGTCTTTGGATTCACTGTGCGGATTCCCTTGCAAGGTCCGGTCAACATATTCAGTAGTGGTCCGTTTGGGAGGAACATATGGTGGACTCGCGAATTTCCTCGTGTCCTTTATGCTACACATATTGTGTAGATGGTGTTCAATTGAAGCCAAACAAAAGCAAGCTTACAACTCCCAGCCCCCAAGCCCTCTTGAAGTGCTTGAACGCTCTTGTGCAGGAGCCTCTTATGTCCTCCTGTTTGGGTGGTTCGATGGTCTCCTTTTGGTTGCCAATTCTGTGGGTCTTCTTGCCATAGATAGGTGCATTCAACAGCCGCACTTTTGACTGCACTTTCGATCCTTGAACCATGGGCTTTCCAAGCCCAAAGGCTCATGAGAAACCTCTGGTACGGCGAGCCTTCGCCATTTCCTTCTCTTGAGAGGGAGCTGGCCAAGTGGAATCACTGGGACTGGAATCCCTTGAGGTCCAGGTCCTTTGGGCAGGTCGGGTCGGCTTTGCTCAGACAAACATCCTATACCAGGGTGCCTATTAAGGGAGCCATATCATTTCCCACATAAGAAGTTTTGACCATGTCACAAATGAACTGGTGGAAGAGCGACAGACACCCCCGCTAAGGCGGCCAAGCAACCTTTGAATCACACAATTCTAATAGTTGAATCACCAACGAGTGCAGGATGTCCAGCACGTCAGTGCAAAATCGATGTTGCGTCAAAATCGGGGAGAACTCCTGGGAGAAGGTGGTTTAACCCCTTGGGTTTCCCCCCTGAGCCTCGACTGAGCCACACCGAGCTTTCAGGTGCTTGGCCAACCTCCGTGTGGCCTGGCCCTTGCTCGAGGCGGCTGGATCCTCACAGGAAGCTTTGGAGCTGCTGAGCCAAGAGGCGAAAACGCGCGACGAGGTCGAAACGAGCGCCGGAAACCGACTCCCATTGGT